AGATAAACTAGTGACACTTGACTGATGAATTTTCTCATCTCTGCCAGCTTCCCTGCCCTCCCTCCGGTGGGATAAAGAAGGAACTGTTCCCTTATAAAATCTGTCAACCGTTTGGACATGCTACAATTGACAAGTGATTGAGAACCGTGTGTGTTAAGTGTGGAATCTTTCTTTAGGAATGCACAGTGAAAGTTAAAGAATGTTTATTTTGTAGTATTTCCTTTATAATTCATCTCTTTTCCTTCTATACTTAATCTTAAGGCTTCTAAATTATAACTTGGGGTTTCACTGAATATTTTGACTATTCAAAGCATTTGTACATTATATGCCAGATGATTCCTTCATTATATATGTATTCATAAGAAAAGATGGAAGACTCTTTCTAGTGGTGATTGGAAGGTTTGGTTGTTTGCCAGTAGCATGTAAGATTTGCAGATCATAGTGATCTCCCCCACTCCAACTGTAGACCTGAAAAACTATGTAGTGGTAAAAATAAATATGAATGGAGAAGTTTGGTAGACAAGTCTGCCCTGCAAGGCGTTTGAGCACCCTGTTCTCCAAAGCAAACCTCATAACTTTTCAATTGTACAGCTGTCAATGCTTAATAAAAAAAAAAATATTAGAGGCATGAAGCAAAAGACTATAATGGAGACACAATTCCCCTGTTTTTGATCAGCTCAAAAATGCCCTTGTAAGGAAAATGTTTTTATTTTTGGCAACTCACTTTCCAGATTCATGCCGAAGTACTCTCAATACAGTTTCAACAGAAATAAAGCCATCATCTCCAACCCATTAAAACTAATTGTGCAAACTGGTTCTTAGTGAATTCTGTTCACGAAGAAGCTGGAAGGTCCACACTTACCTAGATTGATTTTATGCTCAAACTTTCTTAGGGCTTTATCTGTAGGAGTGGACATTTTTGTTGCATTGAAGCTAGGAATCTGTTTATTTGCCTGAAACAAAATGATTCATAACAGAATTGAATTTTCCTATAAAACAACTCAAGAGGCACACATCAATTTTGACATACATTATGCTCCCAACCTCATCCTCACAGTCAAACAATCTGAACAGAATGCTTCTAACATAAAACTATCCTACCATTCATCCCAATTCCTCCATCCAATGCCACTTGCTTCCATATCTTGTTTAGAATATCAAGACATGAGGGTGGCAAACATTGTCTAGATTAACTTACAGGGAAGGATTTGCACTACAGAAGGAGGAGCCCAGGTTCCTCTTTCATAGTTAAGAGCCTGGAAACAAAGAGTGATAATTTCTCAGGGTCAAAAGAATACACTCAACTGCCTAGAATACATCAGAGGCCATGTAATGTCATCATTTTGGGTCATTCTTGCCATCTTGGAGAGGAACTAAACATTGTAGGACAGTTTGGGAACTTCTATACAGACAACATTCTGCAATTCTGTGGTTGTTTTGTGCTGCTGGGGTAGTGGTGCTTACTTTTCCAAATCTGATTCTACATGCACAGAATGTTCACAGCTCTTTTGAACCCCTTTCTCCACCCTGAGCTAAATCCATTGACTATGTATACTAATTCAGACCTTGCAGCAGAGCCAGGCCTTCCAGCCATACAATCCTTGACAACATACCTGTGAATTTCTTCCTCCAGATACTGGATTTCTCTTGGTCACCTTTCTGGCATCATCATCCCAGTCCCAGTCATCTTCTTCATCCTCGCTGCTCTCATAAAATTCCTCCACATCCACTTCGTCACACAAAAACGACTGCTCAATTTTAGTGGCCACCTTCTCCTCAAGGCCTTCTTTAACAACCTGTTCATATCCACTATTTTTAAAGCGCATATTTAGTACAATTTTCCTTAACTCAACATATAATCATCAGTGCACTAACAAGAGAATGAACAATTTCTACTTTAAAAATAATTATACATTATTAAAAAACATGTAAAAACTATATATCTTTTTTTTAAAAAAACAGTTTTTGAAACCTGTATCAGTGAGTTGAGCGAGCTGACATGTGAAGGGTCCAGATCTACCTCCCCATTACAGCCAGAACAGAATTCCCCACTATCTCCACTCAGTGGGGGTTTCCTTTGCTGTTTTCAGCCATCACTTCCAGAAGCCAGTTCTTGCAAGTGTTGACTCAGAGTGATTTGTCCCCCATTCCTCTTCTCCAAAAGGAGGAGCAAAGCCATGGATTCTCAGGCTACATTTGAAAGAATCAACTGGCACAATTTCATTTTTCCTTCATCTTTCCCATGTTGTGAAGAGGAAGGAGTGAAGCC